TAGAAAAGCGTAATTGCATTATTGTCTATCAGTTCTTGGACTCTGGACTCCCATCTCAGCATATAAATGCTGTACATTCTAGGCAGACAGCTGTAGGCTCTAGGACAAAATTCCTGAAGACACCAGGCAAATTACAAGTCCTCTGTCCTTGAAAGGATCTAACACTTACTGGAGTCTTCACAGGCAAAGAATAAAGAAAGGAATCCCAGCATACACCAGCTATACATCTTCCCAACAGTTTTATCAAGAAAAGGTTTCTTGCAGAATCATGGACAAAGTATCTTGATGGCATCTAACAGATGGTCAAATTTCAGCCATGCTCCATGAAGTTTAAATAAAGTCTAACCAACTACGTCAAATAAAGTGCATAGAGCTGCTATTAGCATTAGTATGCTAGTATGGCATCATATGCTTCTACAGACTATTTTATAGATGTATGTATAAAAATGGAAAAAAACAGATATCTATCTATTCATAACCCCAAAGCTGGTAAGATTTTCTAACCTGCTGCACAGCAGCTAAACAATACTCCTAAAACTTCATGCTCATTTTAAACTCCTGTATGTACGACAAGACCCCCAAAAGTCAACATCCTACAATGGATTTGTCTGTCTTTCAAGTCAGCACTACAAATCACTCATGGTCAAACTGAAAATACTGTGTTTGTAACCAAACCCAGCCCTTGCCTATGCTTTTGCACGATGGGCCCCACCCACGGCTCTGCAGCAATGGAAGTCCAGAATTCTCAAAAATGAAAAGATTTGGGAAGAAGGGAGAAGAAAGGGCAGAGGGCATATTAGAAGAGAAGAGAGACTTGAATAGTTCTGTGAAACTTAATTTTTATCAACTTCAATAACCCATAACACAAAGCATGTAAACAAGAGAGTAGTCAGAGACAGACAAACAGAGACATAAGAGAAATTAAAGTATGCACTTAAGTTGCACTTGCCATGAAAGAGAAGTCCACAGTGTTGTCAAAAAGGTTATGATAAAAGAACTGAACACAACCTCTCATCAGAAAAAGTAAAGAAGATACAAACCACATAGTAACTATTTCTGACAAAAGAACTGAACTGTCCGATAGAGAGAAATTTCACAACAAAACTTTGGGCTCAAATTTAACAGCAGATAGTCACTGTGCCACACAAGGGAATAAAATTATCTAAAAATATCTAAAATTACTTCCCACCAAGGTAAAACAAAAAAAGGTACTGGATTCATTTAGAAGATGACTTTTTTTCTTAAACTCAGAAAAATTAAAGCCCAAACTATGCTTCCCAGGCTTGTGACTGAGTAAATGAAAACTGAATTCTCTAAGTCTGCTGCAATTGCCAAGTTAAAGCATATTTAGGTTAGGAAATACAATTTCTGTTTAGAGTAACTTTGCCATCAAGAAAGAAGTTTGTACCAACTCTTATCTCCATGCCAGTGCTAGTGGTTTCATTACCAATGGCAACTGTAAATATCTGATGAAGATATCTGCAATTCAGTTTTTCACCAGTTTAGAAAGGAAACGAAACTAGAAAGATCAAAGATAGTCACGGAGAGAATTTGGAATCTATTTAATTATAGGTGTAAAATTATCTAGAGTCTGCTTCCCAATTCAACAGAAAGCTTTTCTGAAAAGGCTTCAGACATAATCAAAAGTATTAACAATTTAAAAAAGAAAGGACATTAAGTATCAAATTGCAAAGTATCCTTAGTGACAAAATTATCAAAGAAAAAAGGAATTAAAGATCATAGCTTCTAGGCCAGACACACTTAGGATAAAGACGGGTATTGAAAATTCAACTGTTATTTCTTGGAAGAGCTCAGCGTACTAACACCAGAGATAAGTACAAGGAGGGTATTTCTGAAAAGACACGAATATTGTAACAGGAATTTCTCTATTTAACAAGCTAGCATGTTGGGAAGAGTGGATCATTTCTTTTCGGCATGCTCTCAAGCGAGTAGCTCAACAGCTTCCCAAGTTGCAGCAAACCCTACACAGTCCCCTTCAATCCTTAGAAAAAGTTTTTCTTTCCGTCTCCTCTGAGATACATTTCTGCTCCCTACTCTTCTCACCTTCTGCCTGGGCTGCAGGTGCACCACAGCCCGTTGATACCTCACATCTGTGCCACCTGCTCTTCCCTACCCTCAGGGAAAGCCCTGAACATGACCCTCATTACATAATATCAACTGCAAACACACAAAAATGATGTCATCCAGCACAGAAATTGCTATCAGTGCAAAGGATTCAGAAACTATGGGTCTTATGAGTACTGAAGCAACAGAATACAGATGAAATCAAGTCTGAAATGCAGTCATGTAGTTGGGACTGATGAGATTTCAGCTATAAACTAGGGGCTTATCAGTTGGAAGTGATAGAAAAGAAGACGGAATTAGATCTATCAGTCCAACATTGGCATCAACAAGAGGAACCCAAGAAAAAAGGAAGGAGTATCTTTTTGTTCAGATGGTGAATTATTACTTCCCTTAAACAAGATCCTTTTGAAACATCAACAGGAATAAACTGTCCATATGTAAGAAAGAACAACACAAGCTGAGTTAAGAAAAGGCTCTTTCAGGAAGCAGGAAGAATGGGGAACATCTTTATTTAAAGAAAACTCTAAGAATTTACTTTCTAAATTTATCAATATAAGAGCTGAAAGACAACAGGATTGCTGTCTATAAATGCATAGCACAAACACCAACCAGAACAAAAGCCTACTGAGCACAGTAAAATTTCCACTACTAAATTTAGAGCAGAAATTAGGTTATTAGCCATCAGAGGATGGATGTTAGCAACCTTGCAGTTTCTAAGCTTTGAATTTAATCTTAAATTATCAGAAAGACTAACATATTAAAAAGCACACCTACCTTCCTTTTTGGACCTACAAAAGACAGCCAAATTCTGTAGAAAAAATATCTAAAAAGTTTCCCAGTTTTTCAGAAAAACTGTATCTGTAAAATTCAGGTCCAGGTTCTCTCTAAAAAAATTTCGAACTCCCTCAGAGTTCCATTTAGTAAATCTTGGCAGTATAGATTACCAACTCAGACATAGCATAAGTAAAAAAATCAACAAAATTTCTAACATTAAATACATCAAAAAGAGTTAATTTAAGTTTTAACTCCATCGTAGTGACCAAGAGGGTGAAGTTTGGAATCTTGTTTTGTTAATGGATTCCTCTCCCAGCTGTATTTTTTCTAGTGGCCCTCTAAGTTTCCCATTCTGGTAGAGACCTAGAAACCAATAAACAGGTCTCAACCTTTCAATAAATTGCCTGAATTTATAACAGAAGTTAAATAAGTCATTTAAATAATTGAGGTACGTTCTGCTCTGCATAACCACCTTAACTACCAAATTACTTCAGATAAGGGTCAGAACCACAGTAATACATTCCTACAGCAGCAAGACTATTCTTACTTTGGGGACTGAACTTACACACTTATCTTGACAGCTGTTACTAATTTGTGCAATTTAAGCCCTCAACTCCTCGTTCCAAGAGAAATCCAGTAATAGGAAATGCTCATTTTGGGGGCAGATTTCAGTAATGTGTTTTGAGCAAGCTTATTGCATTGTCTTCCTAAAATCACAGAATCATCTAGATTGGAATGTACCTAAGATTGAGTCCAACCATCAACCCAACAGTGCCAAAACCACCACTAAAGGACGTCCCTAGGCACCACGTCTACACATCTTTTAAGTACCTCCAGGGGTGGCGATTCCACCACTTCCCTGAGCAGCCTGTTCCAATTTTTGATAACACTTACGGTGAAGAAAATTTTCCTAATGTCCTTTCTAAACCTCCCCTGGTGCAACTTGAGGCCATTTCCTCTTGTCCTATCACTTGTTACTCGGGAGAAGAGAGCAAACCCCACCTCTCTATAACCTCCTTTCAGGTAGTTGTAGGGAGTGATAAGGTCTACCCTCAGCCTCCTTTTCTACAGGCTAAACAACCCCAGTCCCCGCAGCCACTCCTCATAAGACTTGTGCTCCAGACCCCTCACCAGCTTCCTTGCCCTTCTCTGGACTCGCTCCAGAACCTCCATGTCTTTCTTGTAGTGAGGGGCCCACAACTGAACACAGTATTCAAGGTGGGGCCTTACCAGTGCAGGTCCAGGGGGATGATCACCTCCTTAGTCCTGCTGGCCACACTATTCCTGATACAAGCAAGGATGCTATCGGCCTTCTTGGCCACCTGTGCGCACTGATGGCTCAAATTCAGCCATCTGTCAAACAGCAGCCCCAGGTTGTTTACTGCCAGGTAGCTTTCCAGCCACTCTTCCCCAAGCCTGTAGCACCACATGGGTTTGTCATGACCCATGCTCCAATGCTTTCACATGGGTACTGAAAACAAACCGTTAAAGTCTAGAGATTACTGAAGGTAACAAAGCTGACAGTCAGGAAAAGTTTACATGCAAAATATAAGAATGGTATAGGTTATTTCACTTCCACAAGTATCATATTCATTTCTTCCCAGGTGTTCAAGTATGGCTAGAAAAGACCACATTCTTTGTTTCGCATTATATGCTAATAAAATAAGTATTACTTGTGACAAAGAGGTGGGAGTAGGGTACATCCTGACACTTTCAACCTGTAGTCTGATAGAGTGATCTAGCAAGAGCTGACAAAAACCTTTCTAGCTAAATATATGTTTCATTATGCATTATTTTGAATGTAATAATTCTATTTACATATAGTTACATATGTCATTTGAGTTCCTTTTCAACAGCAAACATGCAACAGGGCTGAATACCTACAAAGCTGTGGTTCCACTGTAGTTCAAACAAAACAGGTATTTTGTAAAGGTCAGTTCTATTATTTCAATAACCTGCTGAGGTTAATAAAACCGATCTGCTTCCAGACGTCATTGTGTTAAATAGAACTGAAGCACCTAAAAATGTTACCCTGGTAGCACTTTCTTCCTAACTTTTAGATGAAAAGTCAGAAAACATATATTATGGCATAAGCATCACATTTTGAGCAAGCACATACACTTTACTGTTTTGAATCTTACCTAGATATCTCTGCTTGGGAATTCTTCTCTCCATCAACTGTAAATGGTGATGCTCCAGTTAATAATTCATACATAAGAACGCCAACACTCCACCAATCAACAGCCTATAAAACAAAAATAATTATGTATGTTATGATATGTTTAAGTAAAATTGTTAACAAAAGAAGGAACAAAAGAATGCACCCAGAAAGCAACTAGCAAAGGAAGAGCCCACCTATCAATACAAAGGCAAACCTGGACACAACAAAGTATGACCGACTGCAGTACTGATTGGAGGTATTTTCTATGACAAATTAATTTTATTTTGAAATCACTCTACTTAGCTTCTTCAACTGATTTCTCAAGTTGAACTCTTTCCATCGACTACTGAAATTCCCTTCCACCACCACCCCCACGCCCCCCGAAATTAATTTTTATTTTTACCATTGTGAAGTGGTAAGAATTCTAAAACATACTAAAAATAACAGAGGAACCTAAGCCTTGCCAAGAAGTAGTGTAACCAGAGCTTTTTGGAGCTTTAGAATGAAACTAAGGAACTTTCACAAAGCACAGTTTAAAAGTACAGGTCACAGTTGATCAGGGCAACTGAAAATGCTATGGAATTTAATCTTATATTCCCTGGTAACACATGTGATCTTTGGTTTCCAATATACTAATTGTATTATTCATATCTCTTATATCTCACAACTTACAAAATACTTCTCTCTTTCAAAAGAAAAGGTGCTACTACGAATAATAAAGGAAGCAGTTTAGTCATTTCAACAAAATTAATTTAACTACAGGTGTTTAACTTCTCAGTTTTACTTCCACGAAATTTGCAAATCAATGAAACAAGTTCTGCTTTACTTATGTTGACAACATTAATACAATACAGGAAGAAAATTAATGAAATGATGACAATTTGGTCTCTTATTTTAGTTTTTTTGTTTCAAGATACACAAAATCTAATGTTCTATATATTCAGCCAAGACTGTCTAGAAGAACTAGCTGAAGAAGTCTCTGCACTGTTAGTAATTATCTTTACAAATACACAATGATCAGAGAAAATCTCAGAAGAATTTTGTCTTGGCATGTGTTTTTCCAAAAGAAAAGAAGTATCTGCAGAATCAGAAATCAAACTTTAAAAATAGAAATACTGAAAAACTAGAGCAGGTCTTTTAGACGAACAATACAGCTATCTAGATTACAAATCAAAAACACTGATTAATGAGACCACAGCATACTAAAGCAATCTCATTTCCTCTTTTTTAAGTAAAACATTTGAGTTGCTAGATATGTAGTAAATATGAAATATGCTAAAAACCTAACACTGTGTTACCTAAGGACATTGCCAACGGTGAGGCAAAGAGTGTGTGGTGTAAACAATTACCATCATATAGGTAACTGACAAATCACCCTTTTTTATCAGCTAACACTTGGTATCAAACTGTGAAGCTATTTCTTATAGAATACTGTATGGCTCTGCATTACATCTAATGAAAGTATCAGATAGAACCAATCAAAGGTAACAGAACAGAGATTCCTCTTTAAATCAGCAACAATACTGAATTTGCAAGCACTTGAGAAGACAGAATCACAATTCAAAGTGACTGACGCATTGGAGAGATGCTCTGAAACTGGCAAGACTAACACTAAGAAATAGAGTGCAGAAAAGAGCTTCAATTCATAAGTTCGTAAAATTCCATTTTTAACAATGGCTAGGCAAGCAGTACAGTAGAAAAAGATACAGAGGTTATTGTGGAATACAAAGTAGACATGCGACAATGACTAAGTGAAAAGATAAAGCACATTCAATTTTATGTTTAATAGAAGAATCAGGGAGGTAATCATTCCACTGTACTTCAAACTGCCAACTTTTAGCTAAAACACTGTGCCCACTACAGTGCTCCCTACCTGAAGAAATATACAGGCAAACTCAGCCCAAGAGAGAGGCAGAATGCATAGAGAAGGAGAAGAAAGAACCTTCTCGGGCAAAGTCAGACTGACTCCAGTTAGTCTAGAAAAAGGAGATGGAGGGTGACATAACATTTTCCACTGCTTTAAAAGGAACTGTGATCAACTATATTCCATGACCCCCAACAGAACGACAAGTCAACTCAATTCAGAGAAAAAAAAAAACCCAGAGATTAAATATTCTCCAAAACTTCTCAGTATAGTGAGTAATCAGAATAATTTATCTAGGAATATTGTAGAATTCTTTTGGGGAGTAGGGTTTTTTTGTTTCAAATATCATCTGTGAATTATGTTTATCTTGATCTTTCCCATCAATTACTGACACTTTAATTAATTCATAATAAAACTTGAGCCTTCAAATAAAAAAATTTCTTTTTTACAATCTGAGAACATTTATAACATTAATAATCCACTCCATACTTCAAGACAGATAACAGATTTCTGTGATGTACAATTTAAAAAATATATCTGAATTAGCCACAAATGAGTCATTTTACCACTTTGAACTAAATACTTCTTTATTTAAAAGGAAGTGCCAGCTAAGTATTTTTGTCCCACTGTACATTTACAACAAATTTTGAATAGAACACAAATGAGTATCAGTACCTTTATAAATATGCCTTTTGCTTAAGATTAAAAACTGAAAATATGTCAGTGTGATATTTTTAAATATAGGCAATAATGTATTTTAGGACAACCTGAAATAAGGCGTGTTTAAATAAGACACTATCACATTTTACAAAAACCCCTCAAGCTGAACAACAGTGTTGCCTAAAGAATTAGTTTCTTTCCAGTGATAAGCTTAAATAGAACATACCTTATCATGTCCTGTATCTCCTCCTCTTACAATATCCGGAGCCATGTATTCTATTGTTCCACAGAAGGAATATGCTCTCTCATTCTAGCAAAAAAAAAGAAAATAAAATTCATATCAGACAATGACATTATACATATCATATGGGACAGATATGGCTAACAGTTCCAAGATGCTGGCAGCAATTCTTCTCCAAATAGCTCAGAACTGCTAGCTAAATCATATTGCATCATATGCAGAGATGTATCACACAACACTACAGAATATTTAGTCTTCTACAAAAAAATAAATGTCATACATTTGTGTGGCAGTCTAAGATAAGCACACAAAAATTAACGTATTGATATCTAAAAAACTTTCCCATAACTCTAAATGATCGATACATTTCACAATTACCCAAGATTCCCCAAGGAATATATAGACACACATTCTGAAGGCTGCAGTATCAGTACTCTAGACAACAAACAAAACCTTTCCATTAAAAAGTGCATTTCATTGTAAGATGTACAATTTGACTAAGTCGGATACAAGATCCTTTGGGTTCCCTATATTTAGGAATTTACTATGACCTCTAGAAAAGTAATTTTCTTTCGCAACACACACATAGATAAAAACCACAACATTCTCTCAAGAAGAGACTTGGAGAGAGACAAGAGAGAGAAAGAGAAAGGCAGACAGACAGATAGAGTTGTAAATTTAATTTTATTCTACACACTGAAGTTATTGTCTTGATTATGTTCAAAACTAAGCTGCTTTCACAGGCATGTATAATTGTTCCCTGATAGCGATTTACCTTTGAGGTCAACATGAGGTCATGCTGTACCTTGCTAATGACGAAAGCACATGTGTTTGGGCCATGCAACATTGTTCCTCCCTTATCCTTCAAGCTTCTAGCATTTTGGGGAGAGATCCTGATAGGTCCTTTAAAGAAGAGTGTTCAAAAAAGCAAATATTTCAAAAGTCAGGTTTTACATTTGTAGATTCAGATTTGGAGTTTAAAACAGGTGCTATATAAGAGAATGTACTACACTAATGAGAGGAAGCTTCTAAAACTAGAAATAGTGCTCAGTGCTACCCTGAGGCATAAAAATTAAACAGTCCAACAGCATATTATCAAATTGTATTTATTAAAATACATATACTGTGACTGGTTTTGGGGGGTAAAATTCTGAGTTCAAAATAGTTACAGGCCTCATTTTGTTCAAATATTAACTTGAAATACTAACTTCTGAGACAAAAACCGTAAAATAATAAACTTTTCATGCTTCCACTTTCTTTTGAGACAACTGTTGTTCCTCTTTGATTATCTTTTCCAGTACCCGTTATCTAAAAGAAAAACAGTGTGACAAAAAAAAAAAAAAGAAAAAAGAAAAAAGCAGAAATTCCTAGCCCTCCACCCTGGCATCAGCCAATCTAAAGCTGTTGATATCATATCCCTCTGTTCATTTTTCCTTCAGCTGAGAGGGAGGGAGAAGGGAAGAAGGGGAAGAAGGAAAAGGAAGGGGAGTGAAAAAATACAAAACAAAACTGTTCTTCGCTTGCTACCTCTCTAAAGAATAAAAATAATGCAGCCAAGTTGAGATTTATGAAAGCAATTTACAATCCTATTATATCAGAAGAAATGGATGAAAACTATTATCATTTAGTTAGCTGCAAATTCAGCAAATCATCCACAAAACTATGTCTTTGTTGTCTCCGTGTTGTGTAATAAAGCTAGGCCTCTACACTACAGCAAGGCCTCTTGTCATTAGGGTGACAAGAAACAGACTGGGGAGTACTACAGGAACGAATACAATGGTACAGCAGAACCCTTCTGATCTCAGGTACCTTTTGCTGGTGAGAAGGCCCACTAAAAACATTTCAAAACATGCACAATTATTAGTAGTAGCTTTTTTGAGGAACAATTTCAATCATTACTAAACCTAATTGGTGGTTCTGATTTTCAATTATATTTACTTTTTACCTTTTACAATCATTTTAGCTCTTAATATGAAAGATGCAATTTCCAAAACACTATTTGAAAATTAGTTTTCTTTCTTAAATTCACGTCCGAGGTATTTTTTGTCCCTTGCAAAATTCAATGTTTAAAACCCTCAAAACAATTTTGGAAGTTGAAAAAATTGGTATTGTATAATTTAAAATGACTTCTTATAATTACACTTGATTATGAAAAACTCATACTGTAAGTCACAAACAGGCATTTATAAATTGAAAACACTCTGGGATATGTTTGTAATGAGGTTTTAACACCCCCAACTTCTCATCCACATAGGCAAGTACTTGTATACTCTAGCTCTCGCTTCCTTTTCAGTTTACAAGAGGATTATTACTGAAACTCAAGGCTGAACAGAGCCAAGAAGAACAAAGACGACAATTATCACGAACAGAGTTCGTAGCAAGAAATTAAGGAGTAAATTGGAACTCAGCACTAGGTAGGGTTCAAAAAAAAAAAAAGGACCCACTGAGCATCTCCTTCATAATCAACACTTATTTGCCATTACATATACTGGCATCATATTCCAGAAGCCCTGTTGGAACCAACTTAGGACTGTTGCAGGGTGACCATCAAGAAAAAAAACACTCTGATACCAACTATTTATAGTTTCTTATTTAACAACAGAAAAAACCTCAGAGGACTACAGCACTCCCCAGAACATTAATAAAGCCAACTGTCTGAAAGCAAAGCATTCTGACTCAACTGAAAATTGACATAGCTTTGCCTTCATAGGATGCTGTAGCAAGACTTGACTTCAGACAGTTGAAGTCACAAAGTCCGGATACTTCTTTGTCAGACACCTCCATTTATGTTGTGCTTTATTAAACTACAACTCCCACCAACTATATCTAGCCATTACTTACAGATCACAGTTTTTATAGCATTAAGTCTCACTAGGAGTACTTGTGTAAATTTGTCATTGTTAAGTATGCTTCTTACAGGGAGTCACTAACAGTCTTTACTATTGTGCATTACATGAGGGTTTAAAACAATTTTCAAAGAACGTTACCTCCAATAACAGTTTCCTTTTTTGTCCCATTCTGGGCTCCCCAGTACAAGAGAGACACGGACATACTGGAGAGCGTCCAGCAACGGGCCACCGAGAACATTAAGGGAGTGGAGCAGATGAGGCAAGGCTGAGAGAGCTGGGACTGTTCCACCTGGAGAAGGGAAGGCTCAGGGGGATCTCATCAGTGTGTACAGACACTTGAAGGGAGAGTGCAAAGAAGAAGGAGCCAGGCTTTTTTCAGTGGTGACCATTAAGCCCAGTGACAGAACCAGAGGTAACAGGCACAAACTGAAACACAGGAGGTTCCCTCTGAATATCAGGAAACACTATTTTTTACTGTGAGGGTGACTAAGCACTGGCACAGGCCATCCACGGAGGTAGTGGAGTCTCCCTCCTTGAAGATATGTGAAACGCTTCTGGAGATGGTAGTGGGTAACTGGCTCTAGTTGACCATGTCTGAGCAAAGGGGCTCCACCAGATGACCTCCAGAAGTCCCTTTCAACTGCAACCACTCTGTGACAAAAGGTCACTGGAAGTTGTATTTCACCATTCATTTGTGAAATCACGTTTCACTCACAAATCAAGCACGCAGTCCCCCCAGAAATTTCAAAAACCACAACCAAACCCCATTTTGTATTTTGCCCCTCCCCACAAATCTACATTTTGTTCAACTTTATATCATGAATTCAAATTCCAGAATCTACATTATTAATATTTTCATGTTATTAGACGTAAGACAAGAAAGGAAGTTATTAAACAACAACTGAACTTGGATTACCTACAGGTGAATTCTCACTGCAAATGTACATCTTGCAAATTGCTTAAGAATTTTTTGCATAACGCAGAATGCTCATTTTTTTCTCCCTCAGTCAGCACGCATGCCTTAAGCATTGTGGTTCCCTCTTCTGAGTTGCAGAACAGCAAGCACACAGACACTAACGGAAGGAAACAGAAGCGTGGCTAACCCATCTTTAATAACTCAATACAACAATATTGTCCTTGTCTTTGAAAGGGTATCATTATGTTTGTTCCCAGATGGCAACGCTTCCATCTTTACAGATAACCTGAAGATAGTCTTCCATCTTCCAGCACTCAACAGCCGATTTTGATTTCTGGATTTTACTTTACCAAGCTCAGCATCATTCCTAAATGTTTATTCAGTAACATAGTTTTCAGTAGAGGTATACAAAGTGGCTACTTCAAACTGGTTAGCTGCTTAAGTGTGCAACAACTTCTCATGAAGCCACTGATACTAAATGAATTTTGAGTTCTTGATCAGTGAACATAGACAGGTTCAGCTGGACGCCCAGGCAGTTCACTTCGTTAAGTTATATTCACTTAACACTTATTCTTAAAGATTAGCTACACATTGACACCATGGATGTTCCCACATGTACTACCAGATTGTTTCTAATAAATACTCTAGTACTACACATGGGGTAAACCTCTAACTTTTCCCACTCCACTTAATGACATTATAAAAAAAGGTAGAGCGCTGCCCTCTTTCAGAGTTCCTTACAATCATTCTGACTGATCCTAGTGAAACGTAACCCTGTATGACCCCTGCAGCCTTTTCTCCTGATTAGCTATTTTAGCATCCTGTTTTCCTTTTCATTCATCAAAGAAGAAAGGGCATAATTTGTCTTCCAACCAGGAAATGTTGACAGCACCTGGCCAACAAGCAGCTTTAGGACAGGGAATTAGAATTCTGTGACTGTCCAAAATGGAGAGGTGTAACGTGGATTACCATTCATCCTGGAAGACAGTCACTTCACCAAAGAAAAAAAGCCTCACAGCAGTATCTTCTTTGCTAAGGGTATGTACACTGACTGTAGCAGGTTGACCACAATTACACCATTTCCAGAGATCAAAAAAAATAGCTCCAGAATTCAATCAAAAGTGCTGACTGAAGGACAGAGGTCTTGCACCAATAGGCTCTTGATGATCTTCCAGTATCATCACTTGGCCCTGCTTTATAACCAAGGAACACTAGGCAAGCATTTGAAACTACCTGAAGTTGTAAAAAGCAGGTGTGTAAACTTTTCTCCTCAAAAGATGGAGAATACTTACTTATGCCTTCAG